GGCCATAGAGCAGGCCGGCATTGAAGAATCCTTCTCCACCATAATTATTTATCGGGTACCAAATAAATAAATTGTCAAAAACATCTAGGTACCGTATACTCCAAACAGCAGAGGCTATTTCGATTCGCCTAAAACAATTGGTGCTCTGTGTGAGTGTGTGTGTGTGTACGGAAGAAATTGATCCAGCCAGCCACTGTTTCTGCTCTCGCCAGTCTTCTATCGAGTGTGTTTGATATTCAGTGTAGTGCAGTGTTATGTTGTTGTAGTTGGTTGTTTTCCTGCTGAAGATTATTCTGTTATCTCTTTGTGGCCGTTTCTCAGAAAGTTAAGCCACATATATCTGCGAATCACATTTGCACACGTTAAGTCTACCGTGATTGGCTGGTAAGTTCCTCAAAGTAGAGCTTTGTTAATTTTTTTTTCTTACCCTCCCGATTCCGGACGTAAACACTGACATAAATTGTTGTGTACAATTTTGTCTTGCAGACAGCTCTCACTTCAGTATGTCCTTATCAGCTGAACTCAGGAATCATCTCAGTCCACGCCCTGTAAGGTTGCTTTCTTATGTAGATACGTTTATATATCTCTTTCATCCTGAGGTATCAATTACGAGTACAGAGATCATTGCATGAATGATATTGTGATTTTATACGACATACTGACTAACTCATTAATATTCGAAATATTTTTTAATGAAATTTCCAAAGCACTTTTCTTGGTTGGTTGGTTGGTTGGTTGGAACCTTCTGTGGATCATTAAACAACTGTTTCGTCCTCACTCGAGACTCGTCCATAGTTCTAATCTACAAGACCATACGGAATAAAACTCATTGATGTCAATTTTCACAGCCAACATGACTTATCTTACGTATACTTCCGAAAAGAAATTCATTCTGTATGAATTTGTTCCATTCCTTTCAAGTTCTCATTGTAACATTGGATATGAAGCTTAGAGATTTAAAGTTTTAGTAGCACTGATGGGGAGGGGTTACCAGCTTCACGCTTAGCTTTTCCCTGGTAGACTAGGAGAGGTTTAGCAGTGCGTGTTGTGGTCAGAGCCAGTTGCAAGCCAAAAAGTGTAAACAGCAATTTACGTCAAGTGCATTGGTGACACAGTGGTAGAATGCTCACCGCCCACGTATGTGGTCCGGGGTTCGATCCCCGGCCACTGGATGCATTGCTTTACCTCACTACGCCAGTAATAAGACTGGTAAAAAGGAAAAGCTGTGCACGAGGCGACCAGCAAGCCCATCTTGTAAAAATAAACACCACTACTACCAAAACTCTAAAGTTTTAGCTAGAATTCGTATTTTCCACTGGGAATTTCAAGAAATAAAATATTTCACGTCAATCTTACCTCCCGAATCAGGGCCATGAGTAGAAAACAATGACAAAGCTTAACCTTGAAAAACTCACCAACCAATCACATCAGATTTAACGTGTACAAATACGATTCGCAGATATATGGCCTAGCTTTCTGAGAAACAGCCACAAAGAGATAACAGAATAACCTTCAGCAGCAAAACAACCAATCAGAAGACGTTACTTCTCTGCTAACAATAACGCTAATAGTAATGTATATAAAAATCTATAAATATCTGTTGATTTTCTCAGGAAACGGTCTGTTGCCTGGCCGTTGTCTTCTGTCGTTTAACATCGACTGGGTCTCAAAAACCAAGCTACGCTCATGGTCAGTAATCATTCTATTGTTGGACCACTGAGGCTCATGAATTATCCAGTGAACTTTCCCTAATACATCTAATCCATTTTCTTACATCATTGAGTCCTTTAAGAACATTACTCGCGAGCAGGTTACCTTGCCAATTAAGCTCAAAGTCATAAATAGAGAATGAGTTAAACCCTGCTGACAAGTGTCAGTAAAAATGAAGCCTTCCCAGGAATGGAATCCTATGAACACAGAAACACCAAAACGGAGAAAAAAAGAGATGTCTATTGTTAACGGTATTTTTGGTTTTCCCCGTGTTGTTCATGCATATGAGTACAAAAACAGAACAATCTCTGCCTCCATTATGACTGTGACGTTCCAGAGGGAAACGTTAACCTCCATTATTTAAAAATAGATCATGCGAAGCGAGAAGTCAGGGATACGTTGTTTTGTTTTATTCCTTTACGTTCCCAGTGGTAGAACATAAGGGGCTTCAAGCTAGAGTCTTAAAGTTTTGGTAACAGGGGGCCTTTATTTGTACAGGATGAGGTTGCCAGCCGCTTCATGCCTAACCTTCCCCATTTACCAGTCTTATTACTGGCCTAGCGAGGTGAAGGGGTGAGTCAGCTGGCGATCGAACCCCGGACCACATGCTTGGTTGGTGAGCATTCTAGCTCTGTTCCACCCATGCATTCAAATCATTGCGTCAGTCAAGGATAGGACTCTACTTCGCAGTGTGATAGCTGCTCAAGAATTTACTTCTCTTCGACAAAACATTAGACAGACAAAAAGATACTAGAATATCTGAACTCCATTTATGATTTATGTCGAATGTCATACACACTCAAAGATCTACAGACGAAAACCAACAAACTGGTAAAAGAAGCTGAGAAGACAGGACTTCGAGTGAACATAGAGGTGACAGGGGTAATGGAGATACCTAACTATTAACGACAATAACAAGAGTGATTGAAGAAGGTCACCTCTGTCATAAATCTTGGCGGCATCATTTTAGCTACAGGCTGAGGAAGGTAAAGTCATGATCGGGAAAGGCATAAAATGAGTATAGTGATCTACTGCACTCCACGTAAGGAATAAGATACGAATTTTCAACATTCCATATGCTTCGGAGACTTGGTTGTTGCGTCATGAAAGCCAACAGGCTATCGCAAATTTTCATCAACAGCTATCTCCTCTTCAACGAAGCTGCCAAGAGAGACTGGTCAGATATACGCTAAGCAGATCGTTGGAGGACATCACTTGCTGGGAAAGCAGTCAAGAAGAACTCGAAAGGGAGAAACGATGATTGTATTTCGAGAAGACGACGGCATATGGGCTAGCTAAAGAGGAATGAAGAGAAGAGACAGTGTAATGGAGACATGGTAATGAAACTTTTTTTGATTATAGCTTGATTCCATACCGTATTTTTGGTACAAGTATGGAATTTTCAACATGTGAAAATCGGTAGTCCAAATTTTGCAGGCCGACCATAGATATTAGGTGTGCGTCGGCGAGGATCCTAACCACCGTGCCGCCCTGTATTCCACATGGAACCTAAGGGAGTAATAATAATTTATAAGTACAAGTGATGGGTTGAATTGGCAGAATTTAGAATTCATGGGCCGTTAGATCGGGTCCCAGTGGCTTAATGGTCTACGAGCTAACTCGCTCTGTAACCTGAAGGTCCTGGGTTCGAACCAAGGCTGGCGAAAACAGCTATCTAATACTCCCTGGTTGGTTTTCCAATGGTCATCTAAGTGATGTCAGCTCCAACCATTCAAAAGTGATAAGATCAAGGCGTAAACAGCGAAGAAAATTTTCTTCTTGACGATTCATTTTCATGAGCCTTAAAATCGCGATTATATATGCAACAGAGAAATCTTTAGACCAATCAGATACTGGGAAACTGTGTCCCCGGAAAGTGTATTACACAATGTAAGGTGTAACCTAGAAGGGATGACTAATTGTAAGTTAGAAAACAGGCAGATGTTGGCATGACGTGACAATAAGTGTGAGATAATGACTAATCAATAAGATTGTGTAGAATGGATAGGAACTAAAAGGAAAGACGATAAAGCGTTTTTATATAAAATCTGTATGAAAACTCAATGTTATTTATACACAGTAATAGAGTGGTAATAAAATGTGGATGATGGGAATAATAATGATAAAATAATAGTAATAACAATAATAATAACAGTGAACCTATATAATAAAAAGAATAAGCAAAATTACGGTAAGAACTTTACTCTGGCCATGGTAGGGGGGAAGGATTTTATGTATCGCTTTTGAATGCAAGGGCCCGGTTTCAGATCTCAAATAGTTAATGCTTTAGCTTTGTACAGATGTCATATGCGAAGTCCCTTTGTACTATACTGAGGGACTCTATGTAACACTATGAAGCATTCATGTGGGGGTGCTTGATGTCCGGAGATGACAAGGTGTTCGTGGATGGGGATGTCAGCACTCTTCTTTTCTCCTCTGGCTAACCAAGCTGGACAGTGTTCGAGAATACGTTTGTGGACTTGACGTCACAAACGGTTGATATACTTTGCTCCACAGGAACAATTAAACTGATAAATATACACAGAGGTGGCCAAAAGCGGTATCTTATCGTTAACGTTAGACTGGATTAACTGTGTTCTGGAGAGTGTGATACGTAATGTGGCTGCTGGAAATGTCTTCTTCAGACATTTAGAAAGGCGGTTTCTGAGAATTTCCACTGCAATATCACCTTTGAATTCTAGGTTCATGAAGAGAGGAACAGTTGCGATGTTTGACAACGGAGGCTTCTCTTCTACGCTTTTGTCTATGAAACTTGGTGGATACCCGTTAATTAAATTTTGCTGTAGTCGCACTGTAACGATAGAAGACCGAAGACTTGGTAAAGAAACGTTTCCTAGCAATTAGGTATCTCTATATAAAGCTAAATTGTGTGCAGCTTATCTTCAACGCATCATTTGCACAGATCTTCCGTGTTGTGCCTACTTCTGCCCTCCTTTCACATCGTCTCCCGTATATCTCCGTAACTCTGTATCATTTTCTTTCTCTGACATCAAATCTACCTCCGTTATTTGATATTTCTATTTATATACTACTGGTCAATCTTTTCAGTAGTATAGTCCACAATAGTACTTTCCTTTTCTTCATGAACTGTTTTTTTTTGTTCTTTTCTTACAGACTGACATGAATCTTCAACACACAGCATATTCTGGAGTTCGTTGCGATTCTAATCCTAATATGACTCAGCCCTGAACTTATTTTGTGTATATCTACAATTTGTCCGACATCACTAAAACTCATATATTAATAATAATAGTATCAATTGTAACAGTATGGTGGCAAGAACTACCTATCATACTACTATCAATACTACTAATACCAGTATTAATGATAATAATAATAATAAACCTTATCAACAACCACTTTCATATTTCGCGCCTAATCCCAGCCATTTTAAACAACAATGGAGAAGTTATCAAAATTTAGGGAATATTTTACCGCTTAATCGACACGTGTCAGATCAATGCATAAATGGAGTAGTTATGAGTGGTTCGTGTAGAAATCTTGCCAAGAAACGATGCGATATTACCATTCTTATTAATAATGACGACATGAATAATAATAGTAATAATAATTGTAATTATAGTAATAATACTAATCACAATAGTAGTAACTATAGTATTAATAGTACAAATAATAATTTCACTGAACGCTCAGATAGGCCTATTTTATCATCAAATGCTATGCTTGAAAATACACAAAATAAGCAATTCGTATTTAGGGGAAATTCTTCTACTATGCCAAGGTTATTAGTATACAATGAAAAATTATTACGTTCTGCCTCTTTACCACCTGGATTCTCATCTCCACCAATCGGGGCAGGCAATTATCTAACATCAAAACGATCAATAATTGCCAATACAGGGCATGCTTCACCCTTATTGGTCAATTCAATGTGTTATTCGCCTTCCTACGGCTCGCCCACCTACGCATGTCAACATGATGGTGCAGATTGGGAAGATTGTCGTATTAGTATTGACTGTTTTGGTTTTAAAGCAACTAGGTGTAAATATGTAAGACGCTTACAGGGAGAAATTGCACCAATTACCAATTTGATGGTAATACAACTACTGCATGGGATGGATTACAAAATACCAAATATTATTTACGCTTACCAGTAAGGCTGCCTACCATTCATAAAGAAGAGAAAAAGTTGCCACAAGCACACCGATCAATAAAATCGCATAGTTTATCAGCTAGATCTGTCCGTCTATCTATTATCCCATTGAATCCAATCTACAAAAAGAGAAGATCATCACAGGCAACAGTGAAACGTAGATTGTGCAGGTATAATAGCAATAATCAGCAGTCAATTAGAGGCAAACCAACTACAGAAACAGATAGAACAAATTGGATTAGTCCGGTTGATTTAAACACTTGTCGTACAACTCTTCGTAATTGTTGGCGTAAAAGTTTAATACAAAGAATGGTAGGTCATGCATTTCTTTAACGATGTTTAAATGTTTTTTAATCGATTACTTTTGCTGTTTTCACTCATCATTCATGTTCCATTTTTTTTTTGAAAATATATTTCTAAATCGATCTGGATCTGTGGAGAAAGGTATATTAGGGAGAAAAGCGTTGGAGTGTGCCATTTGTTTAAACGGAATATGCGATTAGGGTTCTAGGGGCCTGAGTTTTCCTTTGAAAGTCATTAGTACATGCGTGGGGCATCTTATATATATATATATATATAGCAGTTTGAAAAAATTTGTGCATTGTGTATATGATATTCATTATAATAAAAGTTTTTTGTATTTCCCAATGAATAAAAAACAAGACGATATTGTTGTCTTTTACTGACGTTTCGCTATTCAATGCTGCCGCTAATAGCCGGAAATTTCAAAACCCACTCAGTTTATGTATAGCAAACTTAATCATCATTCATCAGCATGGGGTCATTTTTGCGTTGTTGTCAAGTTGGCCAATTGGTAAAGTTAACAAAAACAGGTGTAGATTGTTGGATTTGATAAGTGTGTAAAATTATAAAACAGCGTGTGTTTACATAATGAAACTGCTTATCATATTCGTGTTGATTTTGTCACTTCATAGAGGAAGGAGGTGTTGTAACCAGATCAGATTTTGTTTTAGTCCATTATTCCTTTTCAGTTCAGAAAATTTCGACTCCACTTGATATGAAGTGCTTCTGATGACATTAGACGTTCTTTGTGATTGAATATATGTGTGTGGGAAACTTGAGCACTGTGGTAGTGAGTAATTCCATATTAGTTTGTTTATTAGATGTACCACACAGTGAAACAGTTTTATTTGCTGGGTGACAAGGTTTCGAACAAAATCTATTGTTCATAATCATATCGCCATTTATAATCACACGACTTCGAAACTTGAGTTTTATAGTTTTCTTTGTCCTGTCCTATTTGTCGTAGGGGTAGTAGAATTTTCCATATATCTGGGACAGGTGTTGAATCATTCCTATTACATGTATTTGCGGCTGATTCGATAAAAAGAGCTTCTGTTATCCATCTTTCCCGCCACCCTGTGACACTGAATTTTAAAACTGTCATCCTATTGTATGGTTGTACGTAACTGCATGTAGTGCTATAGCTGAACTATTCTCTAGATTTCTTCTTCTAGATTGGTTGACCCGAATGAAATAAGAATTGATGTCAGTTCATGATGAAATCCTCCATACAATCAAACTAAATCCATACAAAACCAATTCTTGAAAATTAATCTGATTCTCACCAGTGACTGGGCCTGTTCAGGCAGTTAACCTGGGGTTCTAGTGGGAAGCCTTCACCAATAGGGTACAGCAGGTTGAAGGTGTGGCAGTAACTCATAGTAGAAGACACTGCGAAATGGTCGTGCCATGTTCAGAATTGGCAGAAGTCAGAATTCAAAGACCATTGGATCAAGTCCCAGTGGCTCAATGGTCTGTGAGCTCTCCTTGTAACCAGAAGGTCCTGGGTTCGAACCCCAGTGGGTGCGTACTGATGAAGAGTCCCAAATTAGGACGAAACAGCTGTCCAGTACTCCCAGGTTTTCCAGTGGTTCTCTAACTGATGTCAGCTCATGATGAAATCCTCCATACAAAACTATAAAACTCAAGTTTCAAAGTCGTGTGATTATAATTTATATGATTATGAACAATAAATTTTGTTCGAAACCTTGTCATCCAGTAAACAATACTGTTTCACTGTGTGATACATCTAATAAACAAACTAATATGGAGTTCTTTGGGATTTCTGAAATTGTTCTGAATTATTTCAATATTGTCAAAATCAATTTTGTGACCTGATTCTATAGCCTCGCGTGTAGACGAGCTATGGCTGATGATTTTTCAACCTTTTCTAGTTCACTAACTGGACTTCTCGGTGGTCGAACAGAGGTGGCTCCAGAATGTTCATTTCTTATGATTACCTTGATCTCTCTCTGGCTATGTTTGTCCCATGTATATTGCATCACGTCACATTCCAAGTATTTTATTATGTAAGCACAATTAGATAGAGAATCTTTAGGGATTTGGTCTTTTTAATATGGACAAGGTTGGTTTGTAATGTATGTATGTGTCTAATGTTTTGAAGAAAACTCTGATGTCGAGCTTATCGAGTACTCTTCTGATATCGTCTGATATCTCCGCTCTATATGGAATGATAACTGTTGAGGCCCATGTTTTCGGAAGGCGTTTTCGGCCATACTTAATGTCTGTGTTGATTTTGTTGATGAAGTTCCTTGGGTAGTTGTTTTGCTTGAGAGTTTCAGTAATGTTTCATATTTCTTCTTCTTTTTCTTTCTCATTCGTTAACGTCAAAGAGTGTGCTCGTCTAAGAAGACTTGAAACAACTGAAATCTTTGCGCTGATCGGGTGTGATGATTTGAAGTCTAAATATTTATTGGAGTGGGTTTTCTTCCTAAATATGGATATACTAAAATGTCGGTTTTCCCTCCTTTTAACTAGGCAGTCTAGAAATGGCAGTGGGACATCTAAGTTACGCAAAGTTTAACTTTGCTGGTCACCTAAGAGGCACACATAGCTTAGCTAATAAGCTTCATAAGGATGGATTATCTTGAATTCACTTAACTTTAATTCCATTCATCATGTCTACAGTATGTCCAGTATTGATTAAAAATTGGATAGAAATGACCTTGTTATTGAGTTTATTACATCTGTCTAATCCAATCGTAGTCTACTTTTCCTTGTCTCTGATAAACCTTTCATATGTTCTTAGTTAGACTATGATTTCGACTTAATTAGACTATATTGGGATATTATTATTATTATTATTGTCAGTATTAACTTTGTTATATGTACTATTACGACATTTTACTTCCCTCCAGTTACCATTAAGAGAAGATCTCCCCCCCCCCCCACATACACACAAACACACCCCACGTTGAATTGTACTCTTACCGCCGGTTTAAAACACGTCTCTTAGCCTCACCAATCACTACTTAGTCTAAATCACAAACTCCACTCTAGTAAGATGAACACAAAGTGCTTCATTCATACACACACTCAATCCCTTGTCCATCGCAAACTCATACACAGACTTGCACAAACACACAAGTTTGTAATCTATCAACCAAGTATACTCAACCTCAGCCTCGTAATCACCAGCTCTTATTTATATTTAATAGTGTGAAATATTTCCATTTCATGAATTAAATGTCAATCTGAACGAAGAATATTCTTTTCAATACATCCTTCTCCTCTTCAGGTTCTTATACAATTATAAAATAGAATATTTATTTGTTGTCGTCACAATAATGTTAGCCAATTAGTTATTTATGCGGAGGATACATTTTTTAACGTTTTTAAAAATTTTAACTTGTCACAGGAATGTGTATATATGAAATAAATAAATAGTTAAGATACAATTGGTGGATGGTGGCTAGCAGTGGAATCCAGGATGCGCATTTCGTCCTATTTGGGACTCGTCAGCTGGATGTACCTGCATTTCTCTTTGAGTGATGATGTTCCCACTGAGGCTCGAACCCAGTACCCATAGTTTCAAACGCCAAAGCGTTATCCACTAGACAGACCACTTGGGCCACGAGAGCCACCTCTTGTGCGACGGGTCATATTAATTATTGAATTGAATTTTTGATTTTCCCGTCGATTGATTGGACCGAAGTGCTCGGTCTCAGGTTGACATGTCGGCTTCTTGTGCAGATGCTTCGACGATGTCTGGGCATTTAGTTAGTATACAATTGGTGGATGGTGGCTAGCAGTGGAATCCAGGATGCGCATTTCGTCCTATTTGGGACTCGTCAGCTGGATGTACCTGCATTTCTCAGTGAGTGATGATGTTCCCACTGACGCTTTGGCGTTTGAAACTATGGGTACTGGGTTCGAGCCTCAGTGGGAACATCATCACTCACTGAGAAATGCAGGTACATCCAGCTGACGAGTCCCAAATAGGACGAAATGCGCATCCTGGATTCCACTGCTAGCCACCATCCACCAATTGTATACTAATTAAATACCCAGACATCGTCGAAGCATCTGCACAAGAAGCCGACATGTCAACCTGAGACCGAGCACTTCGGTCCAATCAATCGACGGGAAAATCAAAAATTCAGTTCAATAAATAGTTAAGAGGTGAGAAACTAGACTTAAGTCAGGTCAAAAGGACATACTGAAGGCCAAATTAACAATGAAGATCGCTAAACCAAAGAAGGTAGGGAATACCATACATCTACCCTGTTTGGTATCAAAACAAAGTTTACCAACGAAGGTGGTTTAATGTGATGACGAATTGTTGCTTTGAGTGCATAAAAAGGTTGTTTAAACTTCTTAATTGCCAGTTAGGGCTTCCACAAACTTTAGGATACGCCCTCCCTCAAACACTTTTTACAGATTGGTTTAAAAGATGTGTGGAAACAATAATTTTATGTCGTCTCTTCTCTGTAATATGTTTCACAATATAGAGGAGCTAGGTCATCGTTTGTTCTCACCATTAATGGGTTCTGGGGATTCTATTTGTTTCTGGAGCTATTTAGGAATATGCTCTGAAGTCAGCGCTTACTTGCAGAGATCGATGAGTCCTCCCTTCTATGTATGTGTGTCCACACGTACATTGAAACTGGTAAATACAGTGCGATGTGATATCATTTTTCGCACGTTCTAAGAGCTTAGATAGATAGCTTCAAATTCTCAATTATTGTTATCTTACCTGCATAAAGTGTGTTTTTAGCCTCAGTGTTCAATATCTGTCTAGGTATAAAATTTGATCGTCTGAAATATTCCCATATTAAGAATTAAAAGTCAATGTGAACGAAGAATATTCTTTTCAATACATCCTTCTCCTCTTCAGGTTCTTACAATTAGAAAATATAATATTTGTGGTCGTTATAATAAAGGCCAGTTATATATGAGGCGGATACATTTTTAACGTAGAATAACAGATTAGCAGTTATGGAGTGTCAAATTAAATAGTCATATATGTGTGACAAACGTCGTGCTAA